ATTCATTTGTTGACTTCTTAATTCAGGTTCACATTATGTTAGAAGGTTATCCACAAAACTATTAAGTATTAAAATACTTTAGAAAATATCCAACCTAATCAGTAACTTATAATAAGTGATCTGATCAATTTTTTTTCACTTCCATCCAAATTTATATTTTTCTAAACAAAAATTTTGTGTCGGCTTTAGTAATCTGCTGCACGATTTAAGTGATTATTTTAGCTTTAGTTGACAGGCAATGATGATATTGATTACCATTTAGCTGATTTTTATGTCGGAAATCCTTATTTTTCCAGATATCGATAGTTAAAATTTTGAGGTTATATCAGGTTGGCTAGACATCCGGTACTTGATTTTGATAATGTTTTTTGTCTAGGAGGCTTGTTAGGGTTAATCTTAAACCTATAACACTACACAACAACACATTTTGAATTAATTACGATAAAAACAAATTGCACCAAAAATAGTGTAATATTTCAATTTGTTATCGTATTATGAAGTAGATTTCCGAAATTTTATTTTTTAATTATGTTTTCAATTTAGGAGGATTGTCAGGGTTAAGCTAGAACCATTTACACTGTTTTTGGATTTCGGAAATGCCTTTTGAATTAATGACGATAAAAATAAATTTCACTTTAAATTACATATAACGAAACGCAAAAATTTGTCAATTTGTTTTTTTTAACACAGATACACTCATAAAAAAGTTAATCTCTCGGACACAAACAATCCATTTGTGGCTGGAGATGGGACTCATATACAACCATTGACTTATACATTACTAGAGTAAGGACCGGGCCGACCGAACAACTAAAACGGGCCTAAAATTACAGTTTAGGGCCAACGCGAATCGGACAGAGGTGCGCACGCAGGACAGATTTGCCTGTCATAAATATGTCTAGTTGCGTGGTAATAGAATGTAAAAATTACGATACAAAGATTTTAAAAAAACCTGGGATATCGTATCATCGATAAATAACCTTATATTAATTTTGTTATAATTAAATTATTACATAACCGCATTTTTAAAGTTTCATTTTACAGTTAGTTTAGTTACGTTACCAAGATTAGGCCAGGGCTGGATTCAGATCCTCAAAAATATTGTACATGAAAAATAAAATTATATATCACGTTTGACATTTCATGTTTCTTTTTTCCCATGTGCTGGGATTTTGGCGTCACGCGTCTAGTTTATCTATACGTTTCGTTTTTTGACGGTTTTATGTTTATTTCTATTTAATTTTTGTCTAAAGAACTTAGTGTAAGTTAAATTTTGAATATTGGTATCCAATATGTTTTATATTCAATAAGGGTAAAACTAAAAGAATACAAAATAAACCATATCTGCTTAATTGAATATGAAAATCTGATTCATAAAATATTTCCTCTCATCATAGTTTTATCAAGGATGCAACATAAATGCATCGATCGAGCATCGATTGACCAGAAAGGGAGCTAATTATTTACACTACAGAAATTCTCTATATGGTAGGGGTAATATTAAAATGTAAAAGGACTCAATAATAATACAAGGCAACCTTTAGGTAAAATTATGGTATTTTCTCTTAGTATTATTACGATACTATGTACTACAAACTATGAAATAATGGTACAATTAGCATAATTATACTACTAAATCCGACCCTGGTTATGTCGTTTTTTAATATGATGTTTGTATTATGACAGATGCGCTACTTTTTCTTGTATGAAAAAGTTATGAGTAAAATGTTTAAAAGGGCCTATCCTTCCTTTTGAAATCATTGTATACAACAAATTGAGTTGCAGTGGAGAGCAGTCAAGAGGTTTTTCAGAAAACAAAATTATAACAATTCACATTACATTATTTCATTTACCACTCTAGTAGCAGAGTTAAGAGCAACTAGACTTTATAGATAAAATTGGTTGAATCGGTTCTAAAACCGAATTAGCACACCCCGACTCCACGTAGTCTTGTCTGCCCTACCCCTAAGTTAGTAAGTTTTTGTAAAGCCGTAGGCATGGAGGGAGAGCAGCCCCCGGAGGGGCTGCACTTCCCGTAGTGCCGAAGCCGTTGCAGAAGTAACTGCATCAATATTCCTGTATAAAAAAGTGAGGTTATGATTTTACAAAAAAAAGAGGTTTCCGGCACTTCCCCCTTTTAGGGGGAGGTTCCTACCCCAGCCCCCCCCCCCCACTCGGCGACCATATATTCATGCAGTAGATTACTAAAAAATGCATAAAAAGGGGGGGGGGGTTCCGGCACTTAATTCTTTTAGGAGGAGGTTCCTACCCCTCCCCCCCCATCTACCCGCAAACTCGGTGACCATAAATTCGTACGGCAGATTATAAAGAAATACCAAAATTTTAAGTTATAATAGTAAGTACCTCAAGTCATAAGCAGTTTGTTTGATTATTTGCTCTAATTCTTTCTCTGTTAGTTCTATCTGTAAAAATAGATCTAATTAGAAATATTTATTTGGTAAATTAAATATTTACGAAGAGTCCACTTATTATGTAGTAAAAACCTTCTCTGGAACTGCTTTCGCAACTCCTCGTCGCACAAAATGCATACATGAAACCAAGCTAACAGTCGGCGAGTTTTCTTCCATTTCTTTAAATTTTAATGACGAAAACAACACGAGGTTAAACGTGATTTCTCGTAATTTGACATTTGCTTGACATCATTTTGTTTACTTCGTTGTTGTTTTTATTATTCGCTCCAGAGAGCAGGCAAAGGAACTAAGCCATACAGCCTTATCTTTTATTTTCATTTGATTATATAGAATTTTGAAGTGTAAAGGCCGGAACCAAGTCTTATTTTTATTCTTTCCATCTCTTCAAAATCCACAAAGGCCGAAGCCAAGTCTTATTTTCTTTAATTCTTCATATTTTCAAAAACAACAAAGGCTAAAGCCAAGTCTTCTTTATATTATAATCTTTATAAGTTTCAATCCATATAGATTTATCAGTCCAGTTTCAAGGTTTCCGCGCTTTTTCTTCTTTTCTTCACAATATGCTGATGCATCACACTGCGAAGCCCTTGGGAGATTTTGATGACAGCTCAACCCAGCGAACAGTTGATGAAGACAGCCAATCAAGTTCATAAGGTGCCTAAGTGATCAAAATAAATTGAGGTTTATATCGACATCTAAGCACTTGTTTTGTCGTTTTCTCTAATATTTCACACGCGCAGACAATTAATTCATAAAATCACATCACTTTTACGAATTAAAATCCTTTTCAAACCATTATTCAAGCAACAAAACAGGAGCGACAGTCCGTCGTCGTTCAGGCTAAAACTCTTTGTTTACTTCGCCCATGACAACTCTACATATGTTTTTTTTATGGATTCTAGTAAGACATAGACGTAATATTTTATATACGTCTATGTACTAAGTGGTACTAAAAGGATACTACGCATGTCAGAAAAATGATGTTCAGAGTATTAGCGGAAACGGAACAGCAGTATATTTTTAAAGAATTTAATTTAATTAATATAATTCTCACTTGTAAATTTAGAATTCTAGATAGGTGACAATGTTGCTTATTTCTTTTTGCCAAACCCGTTAAAGTTCGCTGCTAGAATCACAAATAAACACATTAAAGCATGTTGTTGGTTGTAAATTATTCTTGTTCTCAGTATCATTCTAAATATACACAGCGCTGCATCTATCTTTTAGAAGAAATAATAAAGAAGAATGTTGTAAATATATTGCTCACATTAAAATAGGTTGTATGCTCTATGGCCTTTGTCTCAATCGGCAAATCAATTGTCTTTGTTGTTACGTTTTCAGAAACGTAACGAAACCAGTGACTTGATCGGCGTTACCTGTTTCAGAACTAGTGATTTTTGTAACTGGCTATTTTTATTCGGCTACTGTGATTGTTAGCATAAATATCACCACTAACTATACAGTTACACACGAAACGAAAATAAAATCACAATCTGTGTTTGTAGCTATACAGTAACTGTATACTGTTAAATCAATAAATTACCTTCCCTTCATACTTTATTCTGGTTTAGGACTGACTGTATTAACTGTATTTATGATTGATTTGCGTTTGCTATGACACCAAGATTTTCATAAAATTATTAATGCAGGCATATTTACAAGTCAATTTGATTGTATAAACAATGATTCTTGATATTTACAGTTTATTTACACTTTTTCAACGTTTTCACTATCATTTGTATTTGCAATTTTATTTACACTGTACAATTAATTTGTTTGTTTGTTTGGTTATTTACACACAGTTTTTAAGTTTTATATTATTATAAACATTTAAATTTTTATACACATTTTTAGTTTTATTTTAATTTTATGATTAAACGAGTTCATGACTCCGTCAAAAATGTTTTAAAAATTATTTTAGTTAAATTCAATGTGACTCGCTTCCTGGAATCGCAAACCGTTGAAATTATTTACAAACAGAGATTACTCTATTTTATTGTCTATGTCTATAGTCTTACGTATGAAAATTAAACGTACAATAATACTGTTACTTACGATGTTTTGTTTATTGTTGTATGCCACATGTGCGCTTTGCGCTCGACCGACCGACAGTCGACTCCCGCAACAATCATTGTTAACAGTAATCATAATCACGCATTTACAAATATCACTACTTGTAACATGACTTTAGTTGAGTTACTGTATCTGGTGACGTGAAATAACGCCCACGTCTATTAATAATACGTGACTCTACATATAAGTTATTTTATTAGTTATATTATTTTATATAAGTTATTTTATTCCATTATTCTAAAAAACAGAAATTCTTAAAGTAAGAAATCTTTCAGCGTATAAATTCAATCACACTCAAATAAATGTATTTTACTAAGCCATAATTACTTGTAAAACTTGAAAGAAAAAATCTCAGATTCGTAAATCTCTACTCTATGGGCAAAGTGACCATATTATGTTATACGTAGACTACGTTAGAGATAGACGCTATGGATAGAAGGATGTGTAGTTGTGTAGCAGCTAGTGTAACTATGTGTCATGTTACGGTAATCTAACATGGTGAATTGTGCAGTATATTTGTGTAAAAGAAGGTCGACATCATCCAATTTACGAGAACACAGTGTCTCTTACCACTTGTTAGTTATTTACAATTATATATTACCTACTTATTGTAATAGTTGTTATAATTAATAATTATAGAGTGTAAACGTCATAAAGTAACACGACTCTTATGTAGAAAACGTAAAAAGTTGTAGGTAGTTTAGTAAATATCTGTAATGTTGTGTCACTGAAAATATAATGAATAATATAAATGAAATAATTTAACAATATTCGTAATTAAGTTGCTGATTACTGTGTAATTTTTTTTTGATTATTATTAAATTAATTTTCGGGTAAGGTTAACAGTTAAGTCGCCTTAATTAGGGTGTGGGGGAAGGGGGAGGAATTGTAGAGTCGCCCCCTACTTCTCCCCCCGCCGGACATGCTTAGTTTTTTTAAATTTTTATAAATCTTTTTTTGAGGTTATGTTTCGTAATTTTTATGACAATTTTAAACTGATTTATGGGGAGAGACAGTTACGGGACGGAAGCCCCACGTCATTCAACGTGGTGGAGTCGAGGGCCCGGTCGATGGAGCCCCGCTTGACGGGGCTCCTTCTTTCGAGTGGTTTATAAGAAAATAACCACAAAGGGGAAGGCGTCATATCCTTCTAACCTAACCTTTCCGAGCCGGGGTGCCACACGTCCCAGGCTCACTTCGCTCGTTATTGAACTCAATTTAACATCAAAATTTTAACTTTTATAACTACTTTATTTTATATTATAAACATAAATTATGGCTGCCACCATTTGTAAAAAAGGATCGTTGCGATATTTAGCATTAGCAGTATTACGCCACTACAAATATTCCACTATTAACCAAAATTCTGAAACTCGGAAGCAATGGAATGACGTAAAGTATGTCTGTCACTGTCAACAAAATGGCCGGCCTAGCGACATATTTTTCAATCGATTCGAATCGAAATCGGATGAATCGATTAACAAAAAATCGAAGTCTTAAAGATCGATTTCGCAAAAATCGGTCTTTTTTGGATTTGCGTTTAAAGTTTATATTTACAATATCAAAAGCTACAATAAAGTACAGACAACATTGAATGATTGAATTGTAAAATTATCATTCTTTACGAGTTGGGGTACATTTAACTTATTGTAAATAATTTTATAGTTAATATAACATATATATATATATATATATACTTAATAAAACAGAAAAACGTTCGATCTTGATTCTCTAGGGTGAAATATCGATTCACTAGATCGATTCAGTACTATATATCGATATGACATTGACAGATGCAACGTCGAAAACGTGAGAATATTTAATTAATTAGTCATTTACCAATATTTTTAAAAAAATAATAAAAAGTACTTCGACGCTGCTCCGGCAGCAAAAATCGCGTGATGGTGCTTTAGATAAACCCACTTAACCCCCCCTCCACTGTGACAGAATCCTCAAATTCAGGCAACTTAATTGTAAATCCAACCCTAATTTTCTGTCCGAGACATAGAGACCTATCAAAATAATAGCTTAGTAATAAGTTCAAAGGTTGTGTTTTACGTACAATAAGTCGCTATTTTTATGCTTTGAGCATCATAAAGCTACTGATATTTTCTTTAACTACTTTAAATAAGTTTAAAGTACTATTGTTATTAGTAAAGAGTTGGACGTCTGAAACCAATTTTACCATTGTGATATATTATCTGTTGCATTAAACGGTTATAATTTGCTGTAAACGGTTATAAGTTGCATGCCCGTTGTGTATTTTTTAACATCAATTGCGTACATTGAATAATGAATACAACAATTTTTTTTAAAATTAATTTGTATATAACTAGGCATGTCGATTCATTCTTTAAAAAAATCGATCTTCGAATCGATGATACTGGAATCGATTATCGATTAAATCGAGGATTAAAAGATCGATTTTCGATTAATCGCGACATTTTCAAACATGAAATTTCAGTAATTTGTGATTATTTCTTTAATTGAACTTTAATATTATTTTTTTTAATAAAATATTAGTAATCTTATTAATTAACATTACTAATATTCCTTTTAACCACTCCTGGTATGCTTGAAACGCTTGTGTTAGGAGTGGTTCGCACATTCGCTACTCGATCTCTTTTTTTACAAAGTGATTTCATATATCACTTTTATTTGACATTTTAGGCTAAAAACAACAATTGTACTTTAACAAAAGTGAAAACTGCAACGTACATTTCTCGATAAATCTTTTTCAATCTAATAACTCACTATTATCAAATCGAAATGAATGCTACACGAACACAACCTCTATAAACTTCAACATATATTATTTATTTACCGTATCTAGGGCTTTTAAAAGTACTCTTGCTGTACTTACAGCTCACAGTATGTATATTTTTGAAAATAAATAAAGTAAATTCACAAGTTCACAGTTCAAACAGGTTCACAGCTATAATATTATATTGTAGTATGTATATTTATGTAGTCCTTGTTCACAGCACAGATTTAGTTAGACCAATATTCCGCAGGTAAGATCAGAATTAGAATTTTAGAAATGAAAATGAAATGACAACTTTTCGATATTGTTGGATGCGTTCATAAATATTTATTTGATTCAAATATATTGTATTGTGTTCAAATTATCAACCAAGTACGACCGGTTGTTCATTTTGATGATGAGTGGTGATGCAGGCAAATATGGTGCTGCGGCTTAATAAGAGATTATTCAATACTCTAAGCCTATTTTCTTGCCTTGAAGACACACTCTTTATGATCGGATGGTAAGATAGATGCTGGAAATTATTCCACTCTTTTGCACTACGCATTATGAAAGACGGCACAAACCATTAGCTTCTAATGTGTTAGTAAATGTAATGTAAATTAAGTTATATATTATGAGTTTGTATGCTATGGAACCAAACTTAAGTAGTAAAACAACAGTATGCTTAATCGTTATTAAAGTGCCTGACAGAAGCATAATGACAATACGAGTATATTATGTGGAAAAACGTAAAAGTAGTGTAAAAATCATTATATTTTTAAGGTTTCCTAAAGACCCCGTTTTAAAAGAAGTATGGCGAAAATTTTGTAACAGGAAAAACAAATGGTTTCCCAAGAGAACAAGTGTTGTATGCTCTGACCATTTTTCTCCATCCTGTTTTCAAGTACTTAATACTAACAAAAGAAGAATTCTTTTTGAAGGTGTTATACCAACTGTACGTTCAGGTTATTGCTCGGTAATGGTTTCATATGTACTATATTTTTATTAACATTATTTTTATTAAGGTACGATTTTATCATAATTTGGGTTATGTATTTCAGCGAAATAATCAACAACAAAAGGAGAAAACAGTTTTATCTCCGTCAAAGTGCAAAAATGTAAATTACGAACAGCCACTTTCTGAATTTGTATGTATATCCTAAAATTATTGCGTAGTAAATTGTTTAATATACTTTTAATCAAAACTAATCTGATTAAAAAATGTTTCAAACGCTTTAAACATCTGAGAAAGTTTCAAAATTTTTTCTCTCATGAGTTAAGTATTTAATGTTATTTCAAAATGTGACGTAATGTGTTTTAGATGGAGACATCGACAGTGACAAAAATTAAAGATAAATTGAGAAATAAAAGTAAAAACGTTAAACGACTTCAAACAAGAAATCGGTTCTCAAAACATAACATGGACGGCTTAAATGAATTAGTAATCACTTTAAGTACAAAATCGTTATCAGGCAAAAAAGGAAGGGATGTTGTAGATGAAAGTTGCGCATCGAAAAATTCGCTTGAAAGGTACAATAGAAAGTTAATTAAAGCACAATAACAAAAAGGACTCCAGTTGGCAGTCTTGGAAAGGCTAATAATGGACTTCATGTAAAAATAATAAGTCGATGACTAATATCCAAAATAGTAGAAGAGTCTGAGAGAAATAAAAAGAACATTAAATCGTCACATGTTATAGTATTAAGTAACATTTATTTTTATATTACATGAAATAAGGCTGTTCTATTAAAGCAGTAATTAATAAAATCAAGATTTAGTAATTAATAAATAGTATCGATTATTTAATATTTGAAATAAAACAACGCCATCTTATATTTTAAGCACATTAGAGGATTATACTACGATTGTTTAATGCTTTATTTAATTAAATATTGCTAAACAGTTTAATAATAATACCATATCAACCGTGTCATGCCGATATCACCAAAAAAATAAATAAAAAGGCAAGTAAAAAAAGACGTTATTATTTTATAAATTCTATTACTGCAGACGAGCTTTTCTTTTTTCAGTTTTCATTGAAAGTAGGGAGAGAAAAGTCTGTCTCGTAGTCTTAATAGGCGATTGTAGACCTAACATACCATAGAAATGTTTTTATTTTATAGGACTGACTGATTTTTTTACACCGTTTTCACAAAATTGCGATCAATTATTATAATAGTACTCGTGATGAGCGAATTCGGTTTGCATGCATACCAAGAAAAGTGGTTTGAAATTTAAATACGGTTTTTACTGCTTTATTAGAATTTTTTCTTTTTTCTATTTAATACGAATATTGAAATCTAATAAAAATCGTCATCGTAAGTTGTTATCGATGATAGTGTAAATATAATAATATTGCATTATAATATCGTTGCATCCCTAGTATATTAGTAAAACTGTAAACCATGAAATATAGAGGTAAGGAAGACAATCTCCCATAGGAGAATGGTTGAAAATGAGTCCATCTGTAAGCAGTAAATATCAGTTAAAAACTCTTCACAACAGCGCTCGAGTAACCACAGGGTATGATAAATCGCAGTAATATACGCTGAGAGTGATTTTGAAAATAAAAAATTTTAAAGCAAGAAAATAATTATTGTAAAAAGAATTATGGTGAAAGTCCGTGCAATAAAAAAATTATAAAAAGTTGTTTAAAATTATGACTGTAGCTACAGTAGTGCCACCCTTATTTAGCGCCTTGCTACGGACACTTTAACAGAGTCTGTACTCCTTACCTCTACACTATATACTGTGAACCATGGATACGTTAGTACTATTATTAGTTTATGAACCATGGAGGTTAGCTCCATACTGTGTACGGTATTCTCGTAGACAGAAAATCGAAAATCTAGATAATGGACATAGAGCTTTTTAGTATAGACTATAATAAAATTCTAGTCAAAGAGTATAGTAAGTATAGGGCATAGACTTAATATATGAATCCTAGTTTTTTATTGTCTGTGTCGGTAATGTGACACACGTACTTCATTTTACATTGATTTCCAGTTAAGCACATATGTTACTAGTATAAAATCTGTGCGCAATTTATTTTAATTTATTTTATTATTTTTGTGGAAGTGTAAGTTCTAATGCAGTTAAAGAATATTTCAAAAAATAAACTATAATTAATTTATTTTATTCTTGAGCGAAAACCATAGACAAATTTTATTGTAGTATACGAGATACGAGTACGGCCCAAAGAGTATAGTATAATAGTAATTTTATATGGGAGTACGGTCGTTCACATTTTAATCACCACAAATAAGTAATTACACTGCGTGATTTTAAAGTAAACGTTATATTTGACTTGTTTTTTATTTTGTAGTTAGCTGAAATAATAGTAACATTTTGTAATAAAAATATTTATCATACTTTTAAGTTGAGGTTCGATTTTGTATAATTTTTTTTTGTTCTCAAAAACTACGTTCTGACAGGTAGGTGTTATAATGATTTGTAAAGCATATAATATACATAAAACGTAAATACCTAGTGCAGAATTTTCATTTATTATGCTTTTCAAAGAAGTAATCAATTTTGTTGTTTATCAATTATGATACTTTAGAAATATTTTTTAAGTAATAGATGTGCTAAAATAATCAAAAATTGTACTGTGGTTGTCTATACATGCACAGTATGTCATAACTTCAAAAATGTCAATAAGTCCAATGTCATTTTGCTGTTTGATATTATTTATCGTCTAGAGTGCATAAAAATCATTATTATGTTTTTTATTGGATAGGTCTAATAGAATGAGCATCAAGCAAGATGAGACTGTGGTTTCGAACGAGTTTGGATTACCGGAATGTCGAACGTGTCTTCAACCTCTCGATGCTAACTCTGTTTTGGTTGATTTATTTCAATGTTGGGTGCCACCTTGGGATGGAATGGAGTCAACTATAGCTGAGGATTTGGCAAAACTGGCGAATATCCAGGTGATTGTTTCCTTCAAATTAGGAGTTTTCTTTTACTTAGATTGTCTAATTTATGTACAGGGCGTATATAATTCGCAATTCGTTGTAAACAACCGTTCTTTGCGCAAAAAGGTTGTCTGGAAGAAATAGCTTTTACTTTCTTTATATATTTCACTTTGTATAGTTTTAATGTGTATTGGTGTACGATAAAGAATATATTGATTGATTGTGCTTGACAAAAAATAATACTTTAGCTTGTAATCGTTTTTATCTAGTTTTAGTCCAGTCAAAATAGACATTTGACTTATCCAAAATTCGCATAGAACTGAAAATTGGCAGACGTTAAATACATCATTATAAATAAAATGTCAAAAATCCCCTTCGATCCTACTTCTGCAAAAAAAATTTATTCAAGGTCAAACATACAAAATTAAGTATTTCCATTTTTCTCGAAAACAGTAAGTTTTATCGTGAAATTACGTGAGACAAAAGTTGTAGATCATACAATTCTCTACCAAAACGGTACAGTCACTTTTTCTCTTACAACTCAAAATTTGTGAGATATTGTGGTTTTAATAATTAGAAAATTCATATTTTACATAATTACCCTACAGGTAATATATATATAATATAAAATATGTAATTTTTTTTATTCTTAGAAAAAAGGGCTTTGTCGCTGAAGCAATTATGACGCCCTGGTACAAGAAAATTCTTAAATAGGATAAATACTAACAACTATATAAACTTATTAATTACTTAATCTCTTATTTACTAACACATAAAGTTTTTTGGCATCTTCTGATAATGGGTCTGATAAAATAATATTAATACTGCCAATCAATGATAAATGTATATTACAATTTTTTCTTTCTCCAGAGTTCAGGACACATTCTATCAATATGTGATAAACATCATCGATAATGTTGCAAGTTGAACAGTTTGGTGAGGTAGTTTTCCGCATCAAGTATGAAAATTTATTGCATGGAATGTGCCCAGATCTGAGTCTTAATGCTATTACAGTGTCGCATCTACACAATATTCGGTTATCTATCCAGGTTGAGCGCATTGGAAACGGCTGGATCGTACGGTACCATATACCCTTCTCTTTTGCTCTTATATCAAAATATTCCTTCCAAAGGTCATAACAATTTTTTTTTAATAACGGTATATAATTTTGAAATGAAGGGGTAATATTATTATATGCCTTCCGAAATAGCTTGTTTGGCCAAAATATCAGCTTTTTCATTACCCTCTAAGCCAATGTGCGAAGGTATCCATTGTAAATGTACTATTATGGAGTCAGCCTGCAACTTAACTAGAAGCTTCAAAATCGCATATGCTACTGGTAAGCCTCGAAAAACCGAAGTACACCGAGCAAGGTGTTGAAGCGCACTCCTTGAATCTGTTAAAATAACCACATTGTTATAGTTGCATGATTGTATATAGGATAAAGCTTCATAGATTGCTACAAGTTCAACTTCCATAATAGAAATATTAGTATTAATTTTTAACTTTATTGCCATATCATTTAATATATCGTAAAATGAAGCCCCGTTTCCGAAAGTATCTTTCGAACCATCTGTAAATATCCTCAGATAATTCGGGTAATGTTCGTTTAGGTAATTAATACACATGTTTTTTATGGTCAATACATGGTACTGATGTTTAGGGTTTAGAACTCCGTCTATATTTAGTCTTAAAATATCTGAAAGGTTTAAACTAGTGATCCACTGATCCAGAGAAAACATACCTAACTGTGAGCTTGAGTATATAAAAAATGATTTGAAGTTGTCATGGATTATTGTTAATAATGGTCCTTATTATTCCAATACCTGTTTTGAATGGTATTGGATAGGTTAGAGATAAGATTAAAAAAAATGTGTAATACTAATTCAGTGTAAACTCTATATAACGACACTCAAGGGATTGTGAATATTTTATATACATTATAGAGAGTTGTCATTAAATGGAATGTAGAAAAATCTACTATCCCACCTTTATTGTGTGTATCAGTAACACTTTTTCGTCAGCACACAGTGATTTTCTCTTACTTGCCATGTTTACAGTTTGGAAGTCGTGAGTAACTAAGATAAGAATATGATAACATAGATAATCCATGAATCCTACTAACAACAGTCTACATGTGCAAGCAGTCCCAATTTGTAAACAAAACAACAGATTTGTTAGAGAGTTTGGTATGTAGGTATGATGCCGACAGTAGAGTGTATTATGGGCTAGGATAATAAAGCGACAAAAGAACAAAAGATTGTACATGGCTGTGCAAATGTTACTCATATTTGCAACTTAAAAAGTACTTTTTATTATTTAATTGTTGTCGTTATTGAGAGTGGGTGTAATGCTATATAGAGTGTATCATTAGTATGGCAAGCTAAAGCAAACAAAGCCGAGTTATTTCGATGATTTAGGGAGTTTGTTGTTAAATATGAATGATGTTACATAGAGTTTACACTGTATAAGCATTATCAAAACATTTCTATTAGATTTCAACTCTTACATTCTTTTTATTTTAGATCACACAGTCAGATAGATATTCTAAAGTCATATGTGAGCCATGCTGCCTAAAGCTACAGAGTGCATGTGATTTTGCCTGTAGTGTTCGAAAAAAAGATAGGTTACTTAGACAAAGATTTCCCACTACTCCTGAGAAAATGGAAAATTGTAACAAGACAGTGTGGCCTAAACCTATTCAGTTAGACAAAAACATTAATGGCTCTGTTTATGGAAATGTTATGGATGTAGAAATTAAGCAGGAGGTGCTATCTGAGGATGAGTATATAAGTCATAATGCTCTGGAAGAATGTAGAGAGGCTGAATTAGCAAATCTTGAAATTAAAATAGAACCTGAAGAGATAATACAACAGCAGCCAATGCAGATAGAGGAACATGTGAAGACCATAACTGAACAAACACAGTCTTATAATACAATTTTAAATGGTAAGCAAAATATTTAATATAAATATAAAAAATTATATAAACACTCACGCCAGAGAGGAGTAGGCAGAAACTACGGACTTCCATTTGGCACAATCCTGACATACCTCTTTCTCCTCCATTACATCCATATATTTACGTATACATGCTCATCGATTAAGGGTACTCCTACCAATTTTCAAACTATCGCCAATTTGGTCTATAAACCTTCTTCTAGGGCATCCCTTCCCGACTCTGCCATTCACATCTGCAATATAAAATTACTTTGTCACTCTTTCCTCGTTCATTCTTTCTACATGCCCAAACCACGAAAGCATTCCTTTCTTAATCCTGGTCACATCATCATCTTACACACCACATTTTTCTCTTATCACTCAATTTCTCACCCTGTCATTCACATTTAGCCCTAGCATACTCCTTAAAGACCGCATTTCTATAGCATTTATTCTACTTTCGTGCTTCTTCTGCCACACCCAACTTTCACTACCATACAGTAAAGTAGGATGAACACAGCATTATGAATTACCATACGTGCTTTCTTAGACACATTCTGATTCTTCATAATATTTAAGTACCAAGATAATAGTTTAATACAGTACATGTCCTTATTTTCAATGTAGTGGTGGCACAAAGGATTCCACTACCCCGTAGCGTGTGAGTGATGTAAGAGGTGACAGAGAGAAACGGAAACAGGAGATGGGCAGTAGCATCTTCCTTATAAAATAATAAAACAACTGCGCTGCCAACCCGCCTGCCCAGTGTGGCTACTATGGCCAATATGCTCCCTATGATGCAATATATTAACTGCGTAGTGGCGCTGTATGAATATCCGCTGCTCAATATTGTCCTATGTTAGTGGCAAAAGGCGACATAGGGAAACCTGGAGATGGGCAGTAGCATCTTCCTAATAACAACTAAAAATAAAAAACTGCATGCCTACCCATCTGCCAATAGTGGCAACTATTGCAAATATCCCCCCCCCTATGAGGAGATCTATGGGGAGCCCTATGTTCAGTAGTGGACTTTGAATTGGCTGTAACAGGATGCTATCTATGGGGGTGTATATTCACCGTGTGATGTGATGATGATGGTGATAATGATTTCTTTATTTATTGATATTTTCAAATAACTAAAATTTACTGGAAATATTGGTGTTTAGTTTATGCTGCTAAAGTTTTTAATTGTTACTCTGAAAGAAGAGTAAATATTATGCCTAAGAAATTAAAAAATCCATTAATGTGATGATTGCTGAAAACTGCTAAACTTCATTAAACAGTGTCACAGACTTCCTTGCTGCATTTAGTTTAGTTTAGTTTAGTTTACGACGGGCTGTTTTTCGCAACTCCACGTCTAAGCGCGTATTTTGCGTGTGGGCAGGAATACTATGGTTATTCGAGCCATGATATCTCCCCAAAGAAGCTCAGCAGTCCCTTGATGTTGCAAGCAACTGCGGGGAGCGATCCCGGTGGGCCGAGATGTTTAGCCCTGTATGAAGCGACTTCTGGACATGTCAGCAACACGTGAGCCGCCTCCCTTCCTCTCCCATGCATGCCCTGCACAGGGGGCTATCAGTAACACCTATGGTGAACAAATGTTTGTTAAAAGAGCCATGTCCTGTGATAGCACTTGTTACTATCCTGATCTATGGCTTGTTCAGTCTCATTAGAACCTTGGTTAGGCGACTGTTTATTTCAGGGCAGGGCCTCCCTAGCTTGTCTACAGTCTACTGAATTTTTCCAAAGCTGAGCGTGTAAATTATTGAAGTATCTATGTACCAGTGAACGGACATAGCCAAAGGGGATTGGTATTATTGGTTCCGGCCCTATAGTTGCCAGGGCCGATCCCCTTCTGGCCAGTTCATCTGCTGCATTGTTGCCTCTAGATCCACTGTGTCCCTTGATCCATTGCAGTAATTGTTGTGCTTATTCAATTGTTTATGGCACTCATATAGCAGTCCCGAGTTTGTCACATTGTAACTCAGAGCTTGTAGTACCACCATACTGTCAGTCAGTATTCTGATGGAGAAGTCTTTCACCTCCCTAGCATCTATTGCTATGGCCGCTTGGATGATGCCCATGCATTCAGACTGTGTTGTCCTTGCTGCATTAACTTTATAGGAAATTAATGATGGAATTTTAGAATATACCAATGCTTATCGATTATTATTTTTTTAAGGTCATTTACATGATTCAAAGGACAATGTTATTGGATTAACAAATGGCATTGATAGTAAAACAGATGTAAGTATATAGTTAAAATACCAGTTTTATTGTTTATGCATTATAAAAAATAGAAATATGAATGGATTTTATTTACACCAATTAAACATAGAATTTATTTACTTTTCTAAAAAATTTTTTTTGTGTAAAAATATTACCTTTTAAAAATTCATTAATATTTTTAAATGACATAGATCCCCAAAGTAAAAGAAGAGCCTGTAAGTGATGAAGATGATGGAGAGACAATACCCACCGACCTCTCTTTGGAGTGTATGTTATGTTCCAAGGAATTTAACAGCGTATCTGGTTTAAAGGTAAGAATTTTAATTAAAGTAATCAATTTTTTCTAATCTGTCGGTGGAGCTTAAAATTCATATTGATTAAATAGTTAATTAATATGAGGGTCAATTTTTTAATCTTAAGCTAAAATTTATTCATGGGATAAAATACAACATATGCATATAGAAATTACAGTAAGATCACCTGGGGCAAGTGTAACATAAATTAATTAAAACTCAACATCAACATTTAAATACTACTCTGTAGGGATTTGATATAGACAATTCAGTTTCACAACATCAATTAATAAGTGATTGTATGTTTGATCAAGCATTTTAGTACCTACAACTAGCATTTTGTAATTTCAGGTAATTAAAACTAATTGAGGTGGAAGACTGTTACACTTACCCATTAATGAGGCAAGTGTGACAGTACGCTTCTTTTTGTAGTTATTTTTTTATCTGTGGTTTTCAACAAAATTGATGGAAACAATTTGAACATCCATTTTTGTATAACAATGAATTTTCCCCAACATGGGGCATGTGTGACTGTTTTTAACTGATATAGTGGTGTGCTTTTAAATAGATTTACTACACTAGCTCTGGATGTTTTGTAAGTATAATAAAGTCAATGCCAAGTGCAAAATAAAATTTAATTCAGAATGTTAACAATTTATAATAACATAATCATAAAAACGTGACACTGTCACACTTACCCTGATGTTAGGTATTAGGTCAGGTAAGTGTAACTGTATCTGTATTTCAAAGAATAGTGAATTTCAGGTCGCAGAAACATAGTCTATAAGTACCAATATTATTCTTTATCACTCACCTTGTATCTGGTTTAAAATAATATATCGAAACAATAACTTCACCTCTTAAAATTGCGCTGCCTGTCGCCAGTTGAGTAGTTTTTAAAATAACGTCTGTTGATAAAATAGTTCAAGCTCAGTCTCTGATAGATGAAAGGAGATTAGTTCATGTTTCTAACGTCTCTTCAATTTTTCCATCAACTTCCAATGAGAAGATAGTATTGACATCGCCAAAATGTTCAGCTGCAACAGAAAAAAGAAAACCAGTTCTTGTTTATTACAGTTCTTCAAGTGATGCTTCAGACTTAGATATTACCGGCAATGATCAGTGCTGCCCCATGCTGCTAAGTTCAGTACATCGTTTCGACTTCGCAGATACGAAACATGACCCTCAACCATCTCTGTACGATCTTCCGAGTACGTCCGGCCTACAAGAAAATATCGTATGTTCTAGCTCTGAATCTGATCTTGATTTGGGTCTTAGTAAATCATTTATCAAAGATAAATACATGACTAAACTTCAAGTCTCAGATTTATACACTTCTTCTTCGTCGTTTGATGATGATCTCGAGCAGAAAAGAGAAACCACTCCAAAAAAACAAACGATTAATACAAAACAAAAGTTAAATTAAAACACAAGCTCAACTAAAGTCATGAGACTAGATCTTCGGATGATGACGAGCCGTTAATTAACCTAATAGAGGATAAAGAAGAATCATTTCATGCTTTTTTGCCTACTCCAAACTACGCTACGATAAAGTCTTCACGTCCAGGACAAAAAGCTATTAATTATAAGGGACAAAGAATAGTTAAAAATTTATTTAAAACTGAAGAAAAAACGAATGAGATGAAGCAAGCGACGCGTAACAAAAAAGGAAAGTCTGCAATTAAACGAGACCAAAAAAAGAAAAACAAAAATAAAAACGATTCAGTAAAACGGCTAAAAAGAACAGTACAACAACAAAACAGTATAAGATCGAAAATAGAGATGAAGAAAAGTGCAGAAGGTGGAAAGCAATGCTACTGTCACGAATGTGGTGAGAGTAGAATGGAAGACATGATACAATGTACTGAATGTCAAAAGTGGTATCACGAGGAGTGTATGGGTCTCACAAAAAAAGGTCTCATATTTATATGCCCAGATTGTGATTAAAATATCAAAAATTATCATCCTTTTTAGTTTCTAAGTTTGATTCTGAATTTAATTTTTATTTTGTTATAATTATTTTCGTTCTCTAATCTTAAGCATTTTAGACATTTCTGACTTCAAGACTGAGTATGTGCCATGATAAGTTATAATATTATAAATTGTATTTATTTATTTTATTATAATTAATATAAAAAGTCATTAATAATTGTTAGTTTGGCCTTTTTAGGAACATTTTGGCCTTACAAAGAACAGACCCATAAGAAGGCCATTTTAGGTTAAAAAAAGTTTTTAAGTTCATTATAAAACGGTTTTAATTTATTTCATACTACTTTAGTTATACGATAGTGTTCAAGTAATGTTCATTGAGTTTTTTATAAATGATAAAAATATATTGAGCGTTTAATGTTTCGCTTAAATGAAAGAGCTTATTATGTAGTTTTAGTAAAAGTATATTAATTGTTACAACTCTATTTTTAAGTTGAACGACTGATGTATAATATTGACCTTGTTTGGAGCCGTGTTCCTTGCAAGGCAATTTGGAAGTGCTTAATAAAAGTTAAGTTTAATAAATAGTGATTAATGCTAGGTTAAAAAAAGTGATTTATATGATACACAATAAAACAAAGTATTACTTGATAATTTGTTTTCTTCAATTATCCAGTTAATAAACGAATAAAAAGTATTTACTCGTTAGATTGGCGTTCCATGGTCCACCCACCTTAATATAGGTGGTATTAATTAATACGCATTATTATTGACAATTTCGAAAGTAACTTCTCCAATTACCTCTCTGCTTTAGCAGAATTTTCTTTGATAGTTTTATTAATATCTGGCGACATTTATTACACGGCAAGAATTTATTTAGGGGGTTAGGTAGAAAAAAATGTTTTCTGGTGGAACAGTATTTCCGAAAAACATATTTTTCTAGGTAATTTTTTATAGTACACTACATTTTGGTGTTTTTGTAATAAAAGTTATTATTTACCTGTTATATTTTATCATGTGACATTCCTTTATTATGGGTATCTTAAATGTAAATGATATTCATCATAAACGAGAGACCGCCTCATACTAGTAAGCAAAGTGTAGAATGGGCCCCACTGAATGGAGTGTTGATCTTGTAAGGTATGCAGAAAGTTGATGCATGCAGGTGACTTAGGGCCATGACTTAGAAGGCTATGTTTAGTTCAGGACTTGAGAAGGTTGTAATGATGATGATGATGATGAAGTTAAGTAATCCATTTTCCAAATATATTGTTTGAATTGCCTATACCTTCAAAATCACCTCTTGCCTCTCATCATCCATGTCAAATAACATCCCTTTTATTTTAACCAGGCGCATGTAATCGCTCAACATTCCTATAAAACTGTAAGAAGAAAGACTGATAAAAATTCCCCAGAGCAGAGGCTAAAAAATCACGGTTTCATTTGTGGAACATGTCAAAGGAGTAAGTAAATTTTAAATTTGTGTGCATGTACAAATAAATTTATAAGTGATTTTAGATTTATATAATCCCTTAATATTTTTTAAAATTACATATAACAGAAACATAAACACTCACGTTTGTCCCCCAGAGGGGTAGGCCGAGACTACAGACTTCCATTTGGCACGATCCAGACACACCTCTCTCGCCTCCTCTACATTCTATTCATATTCATATACCTACGCATACATGCTCGTCGGTTAGGGGTACCCCTTTAGGCCGGATTTTTTAAAATTATCTTTTGATAAAAAGTTAAGTAAATGTCAACTTCAAAGAATTAAAAATAATTTTAATAAAAGTTAATTTTTTTGAACCCTATGCAGTGGATTAGTGAACAAATATTACAATCTCAATGTCATTTAAATAGTTTCATTAAAAAATTGGAATTTATCCTCCATATTTATATGCGAAGAGCCGTGGTAGCTCAGATAGTTAGCGCTCGCTGTAATTTTCACAGTACAAGTAAGCAAGTAACCCGTCCATCTCTCTGTCGCCGAGTTAATACCAGTTTAACAGAACTTAAATTTGAAAACGTATTGCCACCAGATATTGCAAAATATTTCAAAACCCTTGCTGTAAAGAAATCCGCAGATTTATAGGGGATTTCCGTTACAGTTATTGCATCCATAATATATTTAATTGGATATTTGGTTATTTTTAATACTAGTACGGGGGTAGTAGTAATAACTTTATATAATTCTGGTAGTACATTAGAATCCGCTAATTTTAGACCTATTTATGTATTAAAAAAACTCAGAAAAATAAAAAGATAATAATTTTGAATCAAATGTATTTTTTTATTCAAATAAATTACTCCACAATCATCAATTTGGTTATACAAGGGGTCGCTTGACGACTGACGCAGGTGTTGCGCTTATAGAAATATATTTTAAATGCCTGGGAGAATTCACTAGATGCCTTAGGTATTTTTTGTGACTTTCCAAGGCTTACGATTGTGTTCATTATGAGAATCATCATGAGAAACATTACAGTGTCAAAAATTTCGCGCTTAGACATATTATTTCATATTTAAATACCAGAACTCAAAAAGTCATTATTACTGGTAAAGGTTCTTCCGGATCAGTAGTATCAATGGGGCATTACTCAGGACTCGATATTTGACCTATTCCTGTTCTTAATCTATATTAATGACTTACCTTATCCTGTAGGGAACAATTGCGATATAGTATTATTTGCTGATGATACCTCTTTAAATTTCAAACTCAAACGGCAGTTAGTAAATTTTGACAATGTAAATATTGGTTTATCGAAATTAGTACATTGGTTTAACGCAAACAACGCTCTTAAACGGCAATAAGACAAAATGTATTAAATTAACTAATGTCAAACATTCGGATCCCAATGTGCTCTTAAATGGGGAGGAGTTGAGTCACAGGATACCACTGTTTTTCTTGGTATTACTCATTTTAAATAAAATTAAAAAGAAAAGCTTACACCGCTAAGTGCCTACGTCCGCCTGGCTGGGTGGACGTAGGCACTTAGCGCATTAACGGGTACGGTCATTCGGTTAATTTCTATCCGAATGACTTACGAATGTGTGCGTGCGTAGTAAAATAGTAGGCATTAGATATTTATAAATGACCATACCTTCTGAATGTAAAAGATAAAAAAGACAGAATGTTTGGGATTTTTATTAAATTTTTCACCATTTACCTATGTTACTTATTCTGAACCCTTGCAAATTTGGGCACACATTGCAAAATAACCCTTGTACATAATATAGATATTTTATATTGAAAATTTTATATTGTGCTTATAAATTACAATATGGTGTTTTTTCCAGAATTCAAAACATCGACAGACCTAATGGTGCATGAGACGTGTCACAACAAGAGTGTCTGCTATGCCTGTTCTGCTAAGTTTGATACATTCGAACAGCTCACAAGACATAGCCGACGATGTAAAGCCATAGTCAACAAGGAAGTGCTCAAGCCAAAAACTTTGGAGGATGTGAAGAGGTGAATAATATGGTATGAGGATATGGAATTACAATGATTATCATCATCATTATAACCCTTCAAAAGTACACTGCTGAACACAGGCCTCCTCCCCCAAGGAATGCTACAAAGTACGGTCCTGAGCCACCTGCATCCATCGACCAGGGTGTTATGCCATCCAATATAAATATAAAGATGTTTCTGCTAATTTTTTATAATTTCTCCTTTCACGTGTATTAAGTAAGATTTTTTATTTTTTTATTGAAGTTAGTCTTGTCAGAAGTCATCCCCTGAAGACTAAGATGGAATGCTTCATTGCCAGTAAAAATAGTCGCCAGTTCTTGCCACTCACTATTTGATACATGATCTGTGAGAGTGTGGATCTTTCCTGGTTTAGTCGACCCATTTGAGTTGCGGCATGGCTCTTCGATATGTATACTAGCTTATTTTTTTAAAGACTGTTATGTACCGCTATCACTGACCTCTATTATACAAGTATGCTGGACTGGCTGGATACACTGTGACATAATGAGGCGATGTGTTTTTCGCCACTTTGGCGTTGATAGCAGTAGTGAGCGTTCACGAAAATAATAAGACAGAAGATAGGGCAATAGAGATAGGACAGTGTGACAAAATATATCGATAAAAAATTCTATACACAGGCCTATCTGTAACGTCCATTATGTTTATGTATCATTTTAATATAATGCCATCCAATAAATAAAATCAATCAATACTTATGTCTTAGATACAAGCTTTTTACCTCATATAAAACAATCATCAAAAAACAAAATCGACGCTGTGTTTGTCTATCTACGTTTTTCTTCGTAACTATAGAACGGTTTTTGTTCCGGGTTTCACCATTGGGTATGTAGGTTCATTTGAGAGGTTAAGAATAGTCCAATGATTAAAATAAACTGGAGTAGGTAACTACGAAATTTTGTAAAAATTTATTGTTAACCATTCATTTAGTCCTCATACTAAATGAAATCAATAAGTGGCCACTATTTGAACAATATTGTTACGAGCTTGAGGTTCGTGACAATAAAAATTGCCGATAGAATTATCTAAATTAACACTTTAATTCACTTTACACTAATTAAAGTTAAAAATACTAATAATTAAGCACACTGATTCACTTTATTCCGCTCCGAAGCTTCGCTTGTCTCGCCAACTTCGATACATCACCGATCGCATCTTGCAGCGCCTATAAATATAAATTAGCACCGAAATATCCAGAATATTCAAGTAAACACGCGCAAGGTACCGAGAGTTCGAGTTTCAACTTCTAGAAATTTAGTTCTTCGGTTCGAGACTAGATGGCGCTGTCGGTTGAAAGATTAGTGATGTCATTTTCTGGAAAGCTCCCCTCGCTCTCGTCTTTCTTTGACACTAGATGGCGCTAGTGCCGTCGACTTAGGCGCGTAACAATATCTATTGGTACAATTGGAATTTTAGGTAGAAATAAAATCGATAAGTATTATTGACAAAGAACTCTTCAACACTATTAAATTTTATTGTTTATCAAAAATATGTAATTTAAAGCCAAACATGTTAGTAATTACAATATGTTACCATACTTCCGTACTGGTAATGAGTATGACAATTCTCGCACACTATCATTGTTACTAAAAATACTCTTTATTATAAGGTAAAGGCACCTAATTCCGAGGGGTTCTAAAATTGGCACCATATTTCGAGGTATTTAGAAAAATGCTTTTGCGAGCGATTTACAAGCACTTTTTTGCTGCAAGATATCTTATTTATTTGATGTAACTTTGCATTGTTAAATCATCAAAGGTCTGGAGTAGTTTGTATAAGTTTTAAAATAATCGGTTAGTTTTCCGTCAGCAGCTAGTCCGAACGCACGCTTTATATATTTTGGACCTTATGCACGTGAGTACCATGATTTTTTAATTACTGATTTTTTGGTTATATTTGTACAGTTTGTGTGAATTACATAATTTAAGTTAAACTATTTCAAGGATCAGATTTTTATTCGAAAAGCTTAACTGTCTTAAAAATGCCGCGGCATTAGGTGTCAAATATTTCAGCCTGTTCCTTATTTCTATCTATATCAGGGAACAGCGATTTCGGATACTTAATTTCTTTTTAATTTTCGGGGTTGTTTTAATTATTAGGCTGTTCTGCTTTGAGTTCGATAATTTTAAAAGACAATGAATATAAAAACCTATTTTCGAGGTATACTTTTGCTTTTCATTCACTAATTATAACATGTCAAAGGTGATCTATTTAGGTATTTTGTTAATTCATTGTATCGGAAAGCTGAAAAGGAAAATTTAAGTGAATTTGCAATTCAAAGCAATTTTTATCGAATACGTATTATATTTTATTTTATAAATTATGCATTATCATGCAGTTTTTAATACTCGGAATTAGGAAACTAGATTTTTTGGTATGAAACACTATTCTACTATATTGTTTGTACTACTATTGTAGTAGTACAACGAGTATAAAAATAAAATTGATGGGTGAATTCGTTCGATCGTGTTGAATTTAATTGGATTTTATTGCATAAGTATGAAATATTTATATTGATTATGAGGGTGAATGCTTATTACACATTCAATCCATCTATCCCCACAAATATTCACATACTTATAAATAATGCAATGATAATAATACTTCTGGAAAATTTGCTCTCGCTGTAGGGTGTATGAAAGAAAAACAAAATTAGTCGATTAGACCTTTACAATTAATTAATTGCATTATTAAAAATAAAATAAACTTGTCAGGTCTATATCCACGGGGATGATTATTCATAATTTTTAAATAATAATAATTTTGCTTGTAGGATAATGAATCCTAGAAAAAAATATACAGAAGAGGATCTCAAGAACGCTATTACAGCGATCAGAAATGGCTGTAGCGTTTATAAAGTTTCTCGAGATTGTAACATTCCTGAAACCACATTGCGAGACAAATGCGACAAAAAATATTGTACTGATATATTAGGTAAGTTAGGAGCGCTAACCATCTGAGCCGTGGTAGCTCAGATGGTTAACGCTCGCTGTAAATTTCACAGTAGGCTAGCAAACCGGGTTCGATCCCCGCTGGCACCAATGAAATTGTTAATTGCAATTTTAAGTGCTGATTTACCACGTGCTCGGCGGTGAAGGAAAACATCGTGAGGAAACCTGCATGTCTGAGGAATAAGAAAAAAATATTTCGAAGACATGTGAAGTTCGCCAACACGCATTGGGGCAGCGCAGCGGACACTTCCTTGCCCTAAAACCCTCTCAGAAATGAGGGGAGGCTTGTGCCCAGCAGTGGGACGTATATAGGCTGTAACTTTAACTTTTAACTTTAATATTAGGCAAAAGAATCATACTCACTAAATCAGAAGAAACAAAAATTGTTGACTATTCGTTATCTAGAGAAGCAGGGTTTTCCAGTTTCTAAGACACAATTAAAGCAAGGAGTGGCCAAGTTCGTTGAAAGCTTAGAGCGACCAAACACATTTAAAGATGGCATCCCTGGACTGGACCTGGCCTCACTGGCTATCCACTTTCGTATCGAGACACCCAACTGTTGCAAAGAGAGTAGCGCAATTTTTGCCAACCCATCGAAACAAAATTACTGAACAAGGCATACGAAGTTGGTTTGATAGAGTTAGGAGTTACTTTGAAACCAACAATTTGCTGGATGTACTTGAAGATGAGTCAAGAGTATATAACTGTGACGAAGCGGCCTTTTTACTCTGGCCAAAAGAAATAGATGTCTTAGTAAAAAAAGGAAGTATGCGTGTGTATAACAGAGTTGCTAACGATAAAAAAGAATGTTTGACTGTCTTAGTCAACGTTTCTGCTGGTGGCGAAATCGCCCCACCCATGGTACTGTATCCATACAAACTACTCCCAAAAAACGTGGCACTGACTATACCGCCTGAATGGGGTGTAGGATGCACGGAGTCAGGGTGGATGAACATGGACGCCTTTTACGAATACGTGGTGAATGTATTTTACGAGTGGCTGCTGGAAAACAAAAAAAAAACAATGCAAGTCGCTTTATTCATGGATGGCAACACCTCACACATTTCGCTGCCACTAAGTCTTTTTTGCAAAGAAAAAGGAATAATACTGGTAGCATTACTACCAAATTCGAATCATTTACTCCAACTACTGGATGTCGGAGTATTTCCATCAGTTAGGGTCACGTGGAAAAATGTTGTGCACGAGTTCAGAGTAAAAAATAATCGCGCCAAATTAAAACGCGTAGATTTCGCTGGAGAAGTAAAAAAATGCTTTGAAAAAAGCCTTATAGCAGATACAATCAAAAACAGCTTTAAAAGCGCTGGATTATTCCCATTCGATGCCAACAATATTGAATTTTCTAAGGTCATGCGTCAAACATCAGGCAACATTAAGTAATACCACAGTTTAAAGAGATATAGTTTGGAAACGCCTTTGATGTCAGTCGATACCGCCGCCCGTGTACCTAAGTATTTACTGTTTAGGCTGTCCTGCGCAAATATGCTAGGAGTTGTCACGAAATTGGGATACTTCTAAATTATTATTTTTATTAAACACGATCTTTATTATTACAAGAATAAACACATTTACAAGTGTAGCACTGTCAAATATTTTCAGTATTCGGATTAATAGTGTTTTAAAAAAATATGAGGGAAACATAAGCATGAGCGCTATTTGAAATCAACTTTAGTAACTCTAAACTACAGTAATTCACCATTATAGATATTATATTTTTCGAAAACGTCACCCAAAGTTAGTTAGATAAATAGTTTAAAACACGCTCGCGTCAACCGCATGTATTGTACAGTAGTTAGTGGAGTGCGATGGCACAAGGTCGCGCCGCCCACTGCTCCGCAAGGCTCCACAAGAATATTCGCTTCACAACTGTTATACTCTCTTTAAACTGTGGTAATACGCAAGAATTATGTACAGAACAAGCAAGTGGATTTCTCGAGCAGTTTAAAAAACGGCTGGCACCAGGAGTGCTCGATCTCTTTGTAGAGTCCGGATATGAGTGGAAAGGTGGGGAAAAATACCGGTGTTTAATTCAATTCTGAGAGAGAATTTAACGTCAAGAATTCCAGCGCTCCATTTTCGACGATACGCCAATTGTTAACAACATAGAACACTGTGATATACTGTCATGTATATGCTATCATGAATATGGGAATTGGAACAAATACAAGTATCATTTTCCCTCTCATTTCGAATGCTGAATCAATAATGAACAGTGAGATCGCTTCACTAAATTGTTCAGCAACTGACTCCGTAATAAACGTTCTACGAGATATTTGTCATATTCTAGCACTGATGTACAATTGGAACCATCACTTGGGCTTGTAATTGAAGATGCGTATTAAAATCCACAGCCATGTGGTTCACGGAACGGAGATCATTCTGTATACCAAGCGAGATCACCCTGGACCAATCGCTGGAGGTTCAAAACCCGACTGGAAATATTCAGAACCAGAGCGTAGCTGAAGTACTAATTAGTCAAAAATCCTCGCAGATCGTCGCCAACGTGCATATTGTTACGTGCGAGGTAAGTAAAAAATTCCGATTAGGATAAGAAATGGATTTTTTTACATAGACAGTTGTCCAAAATCGCTAAGCTTCTGCGATGAGGTTCTTAATAGTCGCAGATGTCGTAGGTTGGTTATTCGTAGTAGTTTCCTGAACAAGAGTTCACATTCAAAGTGTACGTAAAGTTGATTCTTGCTTGCATAGTGGATCAGTACTCTCAGCATTTATAGCGTTTTCTATTTTATGTTTACATATTTTATTACTTTCTAGAGGCCTCTGACCCTTATCGTCGGGAACATTCTCATGAAATGTGACACAATACGAACTGGCTGTCGTAACACTACTCATCCCCCCCTCTCCCAGATATGATCGTCCCATCATCACTCGTTCCGTGATATCCTGCTAGTCGATCAATGTGTACCAACTTTGCTTTTCCTCCCTGGCCTTTCTTGATGCGGTATGTGGCGTCATCATCCCTTTTTACCATCTTCTCATTGAAGGTCCTTCCCGTCGAGCTTGCAACCTCGGCCTCTTACCCTTTTTCCTGAGAGGATTATGTAACCATACAAGAGTCCCCATGTCATATATCTTAATGCTTGCTCTCCGATGATGACTAGCCTTCCTCCTCTCTCTAGTCAGTTGTTCATTTTTGATAACAATTTGCTTAGACTCCTCTTTCAAATTGTCGGCATTGTTGTGACCTTTTCTATCATTTTGTTGCCTCTTGTCTTCAGAATTGACTCACAACTCCTTCTTAACTTGCCCTGGGATTTTTGTCGTTACAAGATTCTCTAACCTTCGTACTTGCATAATGTCCTTTGAACGATAAATTTTACCAGAGCTGGGTTCTCTTCTTGCTCAGGAACACTTCTTGATAAGGAAACGCCTCCAAAACACAAGCGTGTTTTTTCACCGCTAAAAGGAGCCAGCTTACTCTGGCTCCTACTTTCTGGTATGTATCCTTGGAATACACTGATCGCCTTCAGTTGTTAGGGGTTGAATTTTCTCCTAACCTCAACTATGGGCGGTTCATTGAGTTCAGAGCCAAAGCAGCTACAAGGAAGCTAGGTGTCCTTGCAAGAGTGGGGCGGTACTTCACGCCGAGGCAGCTTCTTACCTTATATAAAGTGCAAGTTCGGGCGTGCTTGGAGTACTGCTGTCACATATGGACTGGTGCTGCGAAATGCCACCTAACAGCATTGGACACTCAGAGACGTACCAAGAAGCTCATTGGTGACCTTGATTTTGTTGAAACCAACTTTTTTAGCCTCGAGCACAGGCGCAGAGTAGCCAGCCACTCAAGTATTCTATAGGATGCATTTCGGTTAGTGTGCGCAGGAATTTACACGCTTTAATTCCTCCCTCTCCTTTCCACTATCCGACTACCAGACGGTCGGCGGGTTTCACCTCTTTGTCGTCGATATTCCACGCATTAGAACCAAACGGTTTGCTTCTTTTGTAATGCGTACAGCAAGAGTAGAATAATTTACCGGCGTCTATTTTTCAAAGTATGAGTGAACAGGCTTTTATTGCGCTAAAACAGTGCGATTTATCATCTATGGCTACAGCACCACTTACCGCTAGGTGGCATTGTGGTCAAGCACTGGCTTATAAGTAAATAAAAAGGAAATTTCAGCACTCCTAGACCGATACCTACAACGCACCGCTGATATTTTAAGAAATCCAGGCCTAAGATGCAGTCCTCGTTGGTGCTGGCAATCAATACACAGTTAAAGTATGTCTATTCCTCAATCTTAATACGTTCGTATCGCCAAATACTGGCAACGGTTGACCAGTAATTGTTCGTAGCTGAAATGGTTATCGCTGCTTCCATTGTTATGGTTCGCTTTAGGAGTTCCGGTCTTATAATTCTTCAGTGTCAAATACATATCGCCGACCTTTTCGTTTCAATTGCCCCCGATAGTCAGCATAAAGAAAAATAAGCATGGCCGTCATTTGAATTCAATTTTATTTGGTAACTCGTATGACAGTAATTCAATAATATTTTTTGAAAACGGCATTTAAAATTAGTTAATTAAGTACTGTAAAACACGCTCGCTTCAATCGCATGCATTGTACAGCAAAATTAGTGGAGTGCGCTGGCACAAGGTCGTGCCGTCTACTGCCCCGCAAAGACCCGCCGTTGTTGTACACAAGTACATTCGTTTGACTCTCTTTCAACTGTGCTATAAACGTGCTCCATGTGCCTGTCGCCGTCTCTAGGGCTTCCAACAGAACACTCAAAGATCTTCCTTTTATAGGCAGCCACTCGAGAATAAGCTGAGCGTCAACAGGCCCTGCCCTTGAAGAGAATGTTAAAATGATATTTGTAAGCAGCCCATGATGATGTCGCGTAAATCACATTTTCCTAAAGTCGGCAATCGGTGCTACTGGTCTGAGGTACATTGACTGATTTTCAATTTTTGAAAATCCCCAGAGATTGCCTGAGGGTGGCAATCGGTGCAGTTGAGTCTATCTTCAGGATTTTCAGTTTTAAACACAACTATTTCTTTTTCTACAGTTTTCATCTTATCACCGAGAATTTGAAGCCATGTTTTTTTAACGTTACCCTCACTAGGATTTTCTCCTGTATCGTGGAGGCAGTTTACATACATAAATTTACAAGGACAAATATCCAGACGTAGAGCAATTATTTGTAGGCCATACAAATAATACTTGTTCCGTGCGAGATTCGAAACGGATTGGAGTCAGCAGTATGGCCTCTCGACTCTTTCTGTTCCTGTTGCCGTCCAGCATACATTTCTGCTTGCCTCGGGTGCGTGGAGTATGCTTTTGTTCTTCCAGTGGCAGTATCGGTATTCCGATTCTGACACCAATTGTTACGTACGGGGTTTTATTATTTTAATTGGATATAGTGACATCATTTTATTAGAACGTTAAAACCTCATCTAAGAAGACTGCGATTTACGAATGATTAAACCCTATTTGAATAAATAAAGTTGATTTACGAACACTATGTATTATTCTTCTTTCTTACCTTTTCCTTTGCATTTTGTACACTCGTAATTTGGAATCAAATACATCGGAATAAGGTGTCTCTGACTTCTTTTCATATTTAATTATTTTAGAATACAAATCAAGATGTAATAGTCAAACTTATTGTCAATGTCAAGAGTAGAAACAATTTTGGTTCTGATAAAAATAGTCAAACCTTCAAAAGGGTTACAGTAAATCTCCTTTCGAGTTTTAGTAAAAATACCTCTTAAATAGGTGCCTTTACCTTATTACTAACACGAAACATAACAGAACTACACAAGTTTTTTTAAAACTTGAAAATACTCGTTTTAAGCAATACAACGGCCATTTGCAAATTATGTCAAAATCGGCACAAACGTTTTGTGTGTGGAGCATAGCCAGTCCAGCGTATTAGTATATATGGAGGTCAGTGACCGCTATCTATCGAAAATTATTGTGTAATTTATGGTGAATGTAATCATAAGTCACGAAATCCCTGTGGTTTTCCATAGCTGTCTCTTACTATATAATGGTAATATATACATATAATCACATGAAGATGTAATACTAAAAAAATATAGTTTTATAATATACTAGCGATCTGTCCCGGCTTTGCACGGGTAATATTTGGATTTTACAAGAGCGCCACCTACCGGGTCTAACTATGCCTATAACATACGCGGAAGTGTAAGCTATATGTTTACAAAGTTTTACCGCAATCTGATGAACGGTTTGGCAGCGCGTAAAATTCGAACAAACAAATATTAATTTTTATATATTACATACAAATTATTCTGAAGAAATTAGATATAGCTGTCGGCAAATAAGAATGACTAAGGCACTCCTCGAAACTCCCCCTTCCCTAAAATTCGAATCTAATTATTATGTGTATATGAATAAAAGATACATAATTGTGTTTAACAGTATGCATAATTTTCAGGCCTATATTCCAAGACCTATTAAGAGTTATTAGTACTGAAAAAAAACCAACGAAAAAGATGTTAAAATGTTCAAAATGCAATGAAAAATTCAGTGATGAATATTATATGAAAATCCATGAAGAAATTCATCATTCGGTAAATAGTCAAACGGTGAAGAATAAGGGAGGAGCAATAAGTGATATCAAAACTACGACCAATAACCGAAAGAGTATATTTGGTAGAAGTAATTTGCCGTAATTTTAGTTTGGTCTATTTAAATAGAAAACTGAAGGGGATCATAACATTTTGTAATCAAATTCATTCATAAACTATCTAGATGACAAAGTTGTGTTACTTTGTACTTAAATAATTTTGAGTATGTCTTGTAACCGTGTAGTGGCGGTGTAAGAATTTCACTACCCCATATCGTCCAGAGGGTGTAAGAGGTGCCAGAGGGAAAATATAACAAGAGATGGGCAGCAGCATCTTCCTGACGACTCAAAATAATATTGCCTTAAAAAAACAGCAGTTGCCAACCCGCTTATCGAGCATGGCAACTGTGGCAAAATCCTTCCATTAGGCAATCTATGGGGGAGGCCTTTGTTCAACAGTGGACTTTTATAGCCTGTAGTGGGTTATTGGATGAAGTAGGACTTATTTAACGGAGTTCTCAATAATATAAAGAGCAAGAAAGATTTTAAGATCCAAGTTTTAAATTTAATATTTTAGGAGAAAGGTGCTCTCCTGATAACCAACCCCAAGTGTATGCATTATTTTTCAAACTAAACTTAAAGATATAGACCAGGGTCGATAATTTTAGAAACGAAAAAAAATTAAAGTAGGATGAAACCTATTGGGAAAAGGAAGGGAATACCACTAAAATGATAGGAAAAAAAAATTGCGTGCGATCTGAGGTTGGGAAGGGGTAGGGGGGGGGGGGAGTTTTTAAGGGTAAAAATCGGTAAATCTCGATTTCCGGCAAAACTACAAGTCCTATCGAAAAAAGTTCAATGGATACGATTTACGTGTATATTTCTATCTAATGAGATTTTCTAATATATAAATGTAATGAAAATTTAATAAATAAACTTTTATTACTGAAAAAAAATAGCAGTAGTCACATTTTTTAATAAAATCCCCTTTAAATCGTATTTTTAATATTTACAACTATGTTTTTTTTTCGATATTTATGTTTAATTGGTTTGTAATTTTTTTTGTTTATTAATATAACATGGAACCTAACGTTTTTCGAGTAATAAAAGTAAAAATTTTAATGAATACCTCAAAATTGTACATAAAGATTTAAAAAAAATCGAATTTTAGTATTTTTCGTTTTTTTTGCATTTTCTGAAAAAATTTTCAATAGTAATGTATATTTTTTTACACCATCAGAAAATAGAGATATCAACGAACAAAAAAGCCCACCGACCTTTTTGAAAAGTCAGATATTTTGACGTGAAAATTTTCGATTGAAAATTAGGGTGCTTTTTCGATATCGAGTCAAAATAGGGTAAAAAAAATTAATATTTTAAATCTTCAAAATTCCAGTGTGTTTGGGACATAAAGAGGTAAGTTTTCACCATATATCATGAAAAAAAAAACAATTTTTTTGTAAAAGATAAAAATAAAAAATCAAAAATGTGGTTTTTTGGATTTTTCACATGAATTTTGAGGTTATGGAGAAAAACTATCTAACTATTGACTAACTATTGAACTTTTTTCGATAGGACTTGTAGTTTTGCCGGAAATTGAGATTTACCGATTTTTACCCTTAAAAACTCTCCCCCTACCCCTTCCCAACCTCAGATCGCCCGTAATTTATTTTTCCTATCATTTTAGTGGTATTCCCTTCCTTTTCCAATAGGTTTCATCCTACTTTAATTTTTTTTCGTTTTTTATTATTTTTGACGGCTTTGACCCTGGTCTAATATAAAAGCTATGTTGATTAAATTTGACCAATGATCTTCTGTTTAGTCGAGTGTATGTTTACTACCCCAATACATGTTAATATGCATTGAGCTGTCGGTCGAGTTCTATCAAGTTGTTAATATGAGAACCTCGTGCACTTCCATAGACTAAAAAGTTTTTTGTTTAAAATTGTATGTATGGCCATACTTTTTGTGCCACAATTTTCTGCATTAAATAACTCATTGTATTCAAAGGACTTCCAAAGCAAGGAAGGAAACACTAATTTAAACTTACCTTGTTTACCACGTGTAACTGTTAAAGCAAAAAGCCCCCTTGCACGATTGTTTGTAATGGATATAAGTAAAATATTTAATTTGCCATTTTTAATTTTACTTCATACTTTTATTTGTACATAAACATTTTAAGTTCAAGTATCTGTAAATATTTTGTGGAAGGTTTTAAGTATGTAATGCATTGTGATTTATTGAATAATGATTCTGTTTAAATATATACAGCTGTATTTTACAGCAAGCAAATTTTTGGTTTCATTTTCAATATTTTGTTATCATCTGTGGAATATATTTTTTTGCATTGAAAATAATGTTGTTAATAAAGCTATAAACATTATTAATACTTCAATTAACCACTCACAGTAAGTTTAAAATGCTGCTGTTGGGATTTGGGAGTGGTTCATGCCAGAAGTCGAATGGCTGATTCGAATCTTCAACTTTCCGAATTTTCAGCCTCAAGTTTTTACCTTTAACTATTAGGCTACATGGATGCTTAAAGCCTCGGTTACACTAGGAGACATTTTGTCACGCAACATGACGCGGAACACTCAATCTACGCGACAATGCAACGTTGCACAGTGACCCGCAACATTTTACGAGACGCGGACATGTTGCTTGTTTCCACTCCGAGAGCGAACGCACGTGTCCCGCGTCAGTTTCGCACCATTTTGTTACCGGGTGTAGTCGTATGCACAACATGCCTTGCCTTTTGCTTCTGAGCTATACCTGAGTCATATTTTGTTATGACTCTGCTATCAACTTCGAACCAAGATTATCGAAATAAAATAAAGAAAAATAACGCGTGGAAGGATATTGCCAAGGCGCTTAAATTACATAGGAAAGAAATCGCCTGCATAGTAATAAATGTTACCGGTTTGCAACATATTGATATGCAGAAGAAACAGCGTTGGTGATAGCACGCAGACTTGTGGAACATTAACGTTAATAAGATTGTAATTGAAGCATGCACCGTCTACTACGAGCTTGATGCTCCGATCTGCAAGAAAACTGGTAATCCAATTACACAATTTCCGAGACGGACGCTATCTGGCCCATTCGACTTGTTGACATCAAGGGAGAGGATTGCTCTACGCACCGAGCGCTGGGTAAACAGTACATCCTGCATGGAGCACTCACACCACGAGACGGGAGAGATCAAGAGTTGAGTTGGACGCAAAGAGAGTGCCTAGCAGATCGGTTTTGTCCTTTGCGACAAGAGCTAGTGACTCACCCTCCCTGTGCAGAGATGGTGGAGATGGCTGACAGAAGTTCCCTTGGACAGCCTTGGCAAGAAACCAGAATGCACGTGTTCCCGATAGAAGTCGAACTAGTTTCTCGCCAATTCTGGAGATGCGCTCTGACTTTGCCTAAAAATGTCATTGACAACATTTTTGAAGAACCTGGAGGCGGAATTATACTTCTTTTTAAGACCGCTGGTATTTGCATCCCGAGACGTCAATGCGTGAGCCTAGGCCTGGTAGCACTCTTGCTTATGGCGTGATGCAATTTTGCAGGAGCGACCAAACCATCGCTGGGTTCTGCCTCCGATAGGTACCACAGATGGAATAAAAAGTTCCTTTCCCTGTAGCACGTCAACAACGCTGGGATTAGACGGCGAGAAGCAAACCTGCCCCCAAGGGTAGAATGCAAAAAAAGATCGCTTCCCGTCCCAATCGGCTGACCAATAATGCCAAACACGGCAGCAACCTGCAGAACGCAACCGCGATTGGAGCGTGAGACTTCTGGTACTATTCTACCGATCAGTTATTTCGATAATCGAAAAGTGTACCACAGTGAAGCATAAGAATCTCCAGTCGCCAATTAATGCAATGGCAATTCAGATATGAGGGCCGACAGTGTTTAGTATTGTATCCTCTTTGGTTATGGAAGGCCCGATAATTTGTAATAAAGTTTTAAAGTCAGATGTTGACATTCATGTAAAATTCACAAAAGATCCGTCAGACATTTGGAAATACTCTTAAAATACTAATTTTTCTTTCTTTTCGTTATAGTAAGAAATTCCCCATCCACCACCTTCTCTTTCAATTACGTTTCACTCCCGAAGTACTATGTACGCCGCACTAATCGTTACAATCTTCTAGGGCGACATTTCTGTAAACACTGACTAGTGTGGCCTGCAAAATGTTCCGCGACTGTCTCGGGACATTCCACGTACCTAGTTGTTGAGCGACATGTTGCGCAACATGCCGCTCCTCTTGTCCCCAAGTGTATCCAAGGCTTAATGCATCATTAGGGGTTATCATGCCAATGCCAAACTATCATTAGGGTTGCCAATTTTATTTTTCAAATATTTTATTTTCAAAAATGGTACATGGCAGAAGAAATTAAGTTTTTTTATCACTAAATAAAATGGCGACCTGGTAAGACGTGTGGAGTCGACAGATATAGGTGATAAAGATATTAATAGTTACTTTGCAACCATCCGCTCAATAAAATTAAATGATGTATCTTACCTACTTTGAAGAGCACCTAAATATCTTAATTATAATGGATTTCCGCAAAGTAATGCCTGATTCTATTAATTAGATATAGGTGACTCGGAATCGTGTTATGTGATATAAATAGTTATGTGATATAAATGCAGACAAAACAATTATTACAATGTTTCGTTATACTCATTGCTAAGCTACTGCAACAAATTCAGAAGCTCTTTTATGGAAATTGTTTTATTCTTTTTAGATATTTAATTTTATTCCAATAAGGTACCACAAAATTGCGTATTTAAACATCGAATTGTATTTAACCCACTAGAACTACTTATTCTTATTATGGGGGTATAATAAAATAGAGTACAAAAAACAATATTACTTTAAACAAATTTAATTTATAATTCATATTCAACAAACAGTGCACGACATTGTCAAAAATCACTAATTGTGCTTTATTCCTTCCCAAAAAAGCGAAAGACATCACAGGACCGAAACAATCAAAATGTCAAATATGGTCAAAGGAAAATACTTCGAAGATAATTAAAAAAAACAAGAACAATAATACTGTATTATTAAGAAAACAGAAATATATCCTCTAATACATTTGATG